GTCTCTGTGTGAGTCTGGGTCACTGTGAGTCTGTGGGTCTCTGTGTGAGTCTGGGTCTCTGTGAGGAGTCCATGGGTCTCTGTGTGAGTCTGTCACTGTGAGTCTTTGGGTCTCTCTGTGTGAAGAGTCTATGGGTCTCTGTGTGAGTCTGTGTGTACGTATGTTGAACTTCTTTTGCACCGTACGTAGCCAACGAATCGGAGGTGCGGGGTGACGTACGACAAACGAGAGCACACCGAAAGCAGGCGGCTCTGCCTCCACGCGGGGGAGTACACCAGAGTGCCCCCCCAGGGGGTATCGTGACCTCTTCCACTCGCCTCGTGGAAGAGGTGGGAGCGCGCCCACTTGACCGAACCACACGCTAACTTGCCCAGCGACGCGGCCGTGGCAGCGGTGGTGGTGGTGATGGTGGTGGTGGCGGTGGTGGCGGTGGTGGCGATGGTGGCGGTTGCCAATAACGGCGGTAGCCTCACAGGGTCTGGGTTCGATTCCACTTCCTGCGTGTTGGAGTTTGTGTTCTCCCTTCCTAGGTGTGAGAGTGAGTGAGAGTGAGTGTGTGAGAGTGAGAGTGAGGGCGTGTGAGTGAGTGTGAGAGCATGTGAGTGTGTGAGGGCGTGTGAGTGTGAGTGAGAGGGTGAGAGTGAGTGTGTGTGTGAGTGAGTGTGAGAGAGTGAGTAAAAGTGTGTGAGTGAGTGTGTGTGCGAGTGAGAGTGAGTAAGAGTGTGTGAGTGAGTGTGTGAGTGGGTAAATGAGTGTGAGAGTGAGTAAGTGAGTGTGAGAGTGAGTGTGTGTGTGTGTGAGTGAGAGTGTGTGAGTGAGAGTGTGTGTTCGTGTGCGTGTAAGTGTGTAAGTGAGTGTGTGAGAGTGAGTGAGTGTGTGAGTGTGTAAGTGAGTAAGTGAGAGTGTGAGAGTGAGTAAGTGAGTGTGTGTGTGAGTGTGTGAATGAGTGTATTGTGTCCTTGGCCCTCCCCTAGGCCGACGCGGCCTCAACGAGTAACACGCTACAATGTGCAATCATCGCTTCTCGGGGAGACAAAGGCGGCTGGGCATGGTGCTGGCCACCCGCCCCCTCGTGTGCCGTGCCGACCTTCATAGCCGTGTGTCTCTGGCCGTGTGTCCAGCAGTCTTTCTAGCCATCTGTGTAGTCGTGGTTCTAGCTGTGTGCATCTGGCCATGCGTCTAGCCATGCGCCTCTAGCCGATTGTCTAGCTCTGTGTCGCGAGCTGCATCTCCGATTGCCGCATGCTGTGAAGGAAATTCAAGGTCACGCGTTTTCTCAACGCCCGCATCGCCACACCTCGCCCACCCACCCACCCACTCGCTCGCCCACTCGCTCGCTCACTCTTCCGCTCACTCGCCTGCATGCATCGCTTACACATACTGGCAAACACGCTCGCACACTCACCCACCCACCCACTCGCTCACTCTTCCGCTCGCTCAACCTACATGCATCGCTCACACATACTGACAAACACGCTTGCACACTCACCCACCCACTCGCTCGCCCACTCGCTCGCTCATTCTTCCGCTCGCTCAACCTACATGCATCGCTCACACATACTGACAAACACGCTCGCACACTCACCCACCCACTCATCCACTCACCCACCCACTCATATGGTCACCCACTCAATCACCATCTGCTCATTCACCTACACGCTCACTCACACACTCGGACACACACTTGCATAAGCATCTACTCGCACACGCATAATTGACTCACTTACTCACATGCTCACCCACTCGCCTATGCATTAATTCACCAGCCCGCTCACCCACTCACCCACTCACTCGCTCACCCACTCGCTCACCCGCTCGCTCACTCTTCCGCTCGCTCAACCTACATGCATCGCTCACACATACTGACAAACACGCTCGCACACTCACCCACCCACTCATCCACTCACCCACCCACTCTATATGGTCACCCACTCAATCACCATCTGCTCATTCACCTACATGCTCACTCACACACTCGGATACACACTTGCATAAGCATCTACTCGCACACGCATAATTGACTCACTTACTCACATGCTCACCCACTCACCTACGCATTAATTCACCCGCCCACTCACCCAGTCTCCCACTCACACGCTCACCCACCCACCCACTCACTCACCCACTCACTCACCCACCCATTCTCTATGCCAATTGACAGTGCTGATGAGCCGGGCATAGGGCGAAGCCCCCCTGTTGTTGAGTGGTTCATCGCGCAACTCAACGGTTTGCGCACGCCGCACTACGAACCCCATCACCCGAGTTGGATTCCCGCTCACGGCCACCATCCAACACCGTTGACGTTCATCCAAACAGCCGGTCCCGGGCCTCCGACCAGAGGTCGCAAACGGGTTTTGATTCCTTACCCCCCGTACCTGTACCCGGCCGCACCAGGGTCGCAAACGGGTACCCGTACCCTACCCGATACCCGGCTACCCGTACCCGGCCGGGGTATGGGTATCGGGTACCTGATTGCGACCTCTGGGATGAAGCCATGTTGCAGGCGCGGGTGGGTTGATTCTAGGAACTTGAATTGTGAGAAGAGACAAGACGTTGGGAAATGAGTGACAAACGGTGACTCACCAGTGACTCACGGCCTACCCGTACCCGGCCGCACCAGGGTCGCAAACGGCTACCCGTACCAGTACCCGGCCGGGTACGGGTAGCCGGGTATCGGGTAGGGTACGGGTATCGGGTACCCGGTTGCGACCTCTGCCTCCGACCCTGGGTCCGCTTGGACGCAACTGAGCACCTCGGCGCGCTGCGTGTAGTCAACATCCGGGAGAGTTCATCGGCAATTGGTTCAAGCAGCGCCTGTGATGTAGATTCCACTGGTTCTTCACGTTCTACAGATGTAGATTCCACTGGTACTTCATGATCTGCAGATGTAGATGCCACTGGTTCTTCACGTTCTACAGATGTAGATTCCACTGGTACT